TCTCTCTCTCTCTCTCTCTCTCCTCTTACTCCTTAATCGCTTTAATTGACAGATCGCGGGAACGCGGCTTCTCGGGGAAAAACACAGCTGCGGAAATGAGGGAATGAGCGTTTCGGTTCGGAAGATCCGCCCCCCCAGGACTTCCACAGCTCGAGATTTTCTCCGGGGTTTTTTCGGGGCCGGTCTTGAGGGCAGTTGGTCTGGAGGTTTGGGTCCGGTCCTGTGAGACCGGGCGGGCGGCGGGTCTGGAGGTTTGGGGCCGGGCCGGTCCTGTGAGACCGTGTGGGTGGTTCGGGTCCGGTCCTGTGAGACCGGGCGGGCAGCTGGTCCGGGTTCGGGTCCGGCCCTGCTGCGTCAGTATGGTTCAGTGGTCTGCCCGGGCAGGACCCAGCGGGCTCGGTCCGCAGCAGTGGCGCGGTGCTGTCCCCCTGCCTCAGAAAGCCCGCTCCCGCCGCGCCCCCCCTCCCTCTCGATCTCAGGCCGTGTTAAGCTTGTCATCTTTATTTCCCCTGGCGTCTCCCAGCCGCCGCGCTGGTGTGCGGACCTGCCTCACACGGCTAGCTTCGAACAGTGTCATTAAACCGCGCGCGCCGCCGTCCGCGTCGGCCTGCGAGGAGAGAGAGAGCCGGAGTGACAGCTCCCATTGTTAGCGCCGTCTCCCTGATTCCCTTGTAAGCTGCTTTAGGAGACACCACATTCCCGCTAAGCCCTGTGTTCCAGTCACTCCCTCACCACCCCCCTCTTCCTTGCTGCCACTAGACCGGATCCTTCGTGACAGCCGATCATCTCTGCTGATCGCGGGCTGGGGGCCGCGGTCCCGTCCTTTCACGGCCAGCTGGGGGTGATCAATCACCTGCCCGGGTGGTGGTGGCTCCCGGGGCTGCGAGGGCGGCGAAGTCGCCGTCCGCGGCGGAGCGGTCCGGTCCGCTCCGGGGTTTTCAGGGGGTTGTGGGGCCCGACTCCCGTTGCGCAGCAGTCTGATCCGCTCCAGGTTTGCGGTGCTGTCAGGTCGGGCTGGTGCTCCGGGGCCGCTCTGCGGAACGTGATGGAAGTCACCGCAGTGAATCCCCGGGAGAGGATCGGACGTCCCGTGCAGTAGGAATCCGACCTCTTCCAAACCCCCTGTTCAGCGGCCGGCTGGGTTCCTGTGCCCGTGAGGCGCTCTGTGTGACTGCAGGGAAGGGGCGATACCGTTTCAGGTTTTCCCCCCAATCGGCGCAGATAACCGCCTGTAAAACGACCAGTGCGTCGGTTTATTCAGAGCACCCTTATCTAAAGCAGTACCGTTTTGGGGTGGGTGAGGGGGG